CCATCTATGACAAACCAATAGCCAACATTATATTAAACGGACAAAAACTGAAAGCTTTCACTCTAAAATCAGGAACAAGATGTCTACTGTCACCATTTTCATTCAATATAGTTTTGGAAGCACTAACCAGGGCACTTAGATGAAAGAAAAGGAATAAACAGAGGAAAGGAAGAAGTTAAACTATAATTATTTGCAGATGACATGATACTCTACATAGAAGACCCCAAAAACTCCACCAAAAGACTTCTAGATTTAATAACCAAATTCAGTAGCATAGCTGGGTACAAAGTCAACACTCAAAAGTCAATGGCATTCCTATATACACATGACAATCTCACTGAGAGAGAAATGTGGGAAACAATACCTTTCATAACAGCATCCGAAAGAAATTTAACTAGGAATCAATCTAACAAAGTAAAAGATCCTTACATTGAAAACTGCGGTATTCTGAAAAAAGAGATTGAAGACAGTATCAGGAAATAGAAAGATACCTCTTGTTCTTGAATCAGAAGAACCAATACAGCAAAAATCGCCATACATCCAGAATTGTTGAACAGCTTTAATGCAATCCCAAGAAAAATACCAATAGCATTTCTCACAAAGAAAACTATCTGAAAATTCATTTGGAACCAGAAGAGATCTAGAATAGGAAAGGTAATTCTGGGCAACAAAGGCAAGGCAGATCATGAAACTCTGTAACTTGAGACTCTACTACAAAGCTAGAGTGATAGAAACTATGAAACTGGCAAAACAAAACAAAACAAAACAAAACAAAACAAAACAAAACAAAACAAAACAAACCAAACCTCAGGCAAACAAACAAACCCCACACAGACCCTAGGATCAGTGGAACAGATTAGAAGCAGCAGAAATAACTTCAAACATACTCAGCTCCAAACACTTTCACTGGAAAAAAGCTTCTTTAATCAATGATATAGGACAAATTGGCTTTGCAAATGCCAAATGATAAAACTAGACATAAATCTTTCAGCAGGAAAAATGAGAAAGCAACAACTGGGACCTTACCTTTTTTATTTTTATTTTTTTGTGGAACCGGGGATTGAACTCAGGCCCTTACAATTACTAGGAAAGCGCTTATTCCACTGAGTCATGTCCCCGGCCCCTGGGATCTCATCTTATTAAAAAGCTTTTGTTCAGTAAAAGAAATAATCAACAGAGTGAAGAGACAACCCACAGTGGGAATACATTTTTCCCTGCTGCTCCTGAAAGGACTAATATCTAGAATATATAAAAACATTTTTGAAAATCAGACCCCACAAATTAAAGACTGAAAAGTGGGTATTGAAAAATGGGCATCTGAAATGAAGACACTTCTCAGAGGAAGAAGCAGCAACAGCAAAGAAATGTATGAAAAAATCTTCAACATCACTGGTCATTCAAGATGTAAATTAAAACAATCCTGTGACTTTCATCCCACTCCAGGAAGTATGGCTACCATCAGGAAATCAACCAATGATAAATGCTACAAGGGCTGTGGGGAAAAAAGAACCTTCTCCACTATTGGTGGGAGTGTAGACTGGTGTAATCACTGTGCAAATTAGTGTGGGGAGTTCTCAAAATCTAAAACTGCAGGTCCCATTTTACCCAGCTATTTTTCTTCTTGGTATCTTCCCAAAAGAATTTAAAGCATCATACCATAGTGACATATACACACCCATGTTTATAAAGGCACAGGTTGTAATAGCTAAATTTTGGAATCAGCCCAAATACCCATCAACCAGTGAATAAAAATTTTTTTTTTAATTTTTATTTATTTATTTGAGAGAGAGAGAGGGAGAGAGAGAGAGAGAGAGAGAGAGAGAGAGAGAGAGAGAGAGAGAGAGAGAGAGAGTGTGGCCAGCTCAGCCCACCAGGGGGCAGGGCTGGCTGGCATGTGGTGCTGGGGATTGAACCGTGGTCCCTGATGCTTTTGCT